CAGCACCGAGCCCGGGCTGCCAGGCCTGGCTTCTGAGCAAAGCCACCACTCTGCACACAGGGCCAGCAGGCACCACCAAAACGTCAGAGACAGAGAAACCCAGCTGCTAACCCAGGGGTGCTGGAGGAAGACAAAGGGAAAACCTCATCTGTATTTAACATGTAGCTGCAGGACTCTGGCCCCCTGCTGTGGGCTTGGCTTCGAGGGGTTCTGTGCATCCCTCCACAGGGGGCTGGGAAGGGGCCAGAGGAAGGACAGAAAGGGGCTCAGGGCAGACAGTGCAGAAAGCCCCCCCAGAGCCCCCAGCTCAGGAACCCCCTTTCTGCACGTTAGCTGTGTGCAGTGTGTCCTTGGGCAGCCCCTGCACACCCAGCTGGCACAGGGGGCTGGGACCTTTCCCCAGGGTCTGCCCCACCAGAAGTGCTGCTGGCAGAGCTCAGCTCTGAGCCAAGGTGCCCACAGCAGCCCCCTGGGCACACACACAGGCCCCCAAACCAGCTGCTGGGCAAAGAACCCTCCCCCACTCCCAGAAAGGGAAGCTGCACGATTCCCAGGAAAGCACCTAAACAAACCTTCCTTCACCTTGGCAAAATACATGCACTTGAGCTACGAGCAGCCCAAAAAATATGCAATTTTCTGCCAGATTTGGGCTGGTGAGCCCCAAAGGGAGCTCATCTGAAGCTCATGCTGTCAGTGGCCTGTCTCTCCAAGCCTCATCTGTAAGTTCCTCCTTCACTGCCACCCCCAAAGCTCATCAGCTTGTGAGGTGCAGACTCACAAAAGCCCTGACACCATCTGTTCTCAGCACCCAGAGATGTCCATTCTTCCACCTGGGAGCTGTTGCTCAGTGAACACTTGTGAAATTCACCATTCAGTTGGTGCAAACACAGGAAAGTTCATGACTATCATCACACCAAACCTATCACCCACCAAGCCATTGCTTACACCAATTAACTGAAGCTGTTAAAATGGCTTTTATGGAAAAAATAACCCCAAATAAGAGCAAATTAGCTTTTTAAAAAAAACTCTTAAAATGCAGCTCAGCTCACAACAGTCTCCAGGTTCTTTTCCTATGCTTCTTAGAAGCAAGCAGTAAAATGTCACATACCACTGATGGCACTCAGCACTTTGGTCCCATTTCTGCAAGGCGACTTCCATTTTCCCTGCAAAGAAGTGGTCAGAGGTAAGGATCTCAAGACACTTTTTCTCTGAAGCTGTTAGAGTACAATAACAGGATGGCATAAAAGTGATACATTTCTGAATTTTGTAATACATTTGGCTTGAAAACACCCTGTAAATAATTTCATGATTTTGCAGTGATATGGAATATCCAAGATGTCACACAAATTTGTTGGAGAGTAGCAAACAGTGCTGACCAAATGGTTTCACCCTGTTTGGAAGCACAATTATCTATACTAAAAACACCTTCCACAGCACATTAAGAAAAGCTAATCAGAGCTTTCAGTGATTTTGCTCTGATGCATTTCACAGCCTCAGATCCAGGACTCTCCCCACATCTCCTCCTGCAGTCTCAAAAAGCTGAAAACCAAGTGCTATTGAAGGCTAAAAGGACTATCAAAATAAAACTTCATGCTTTAAATGGCTACATTGATTTCCAGAAAAGAATAATTGTATTAGATGCTATGGTATTAACTAACTAGATTTAGTTATCTGTATAATGAACAGGACAGAAATTTACTACCTTTTGTTGCAGATCTTAATTGTAATAAAGATTCCTTTAGTTTTATTCTGACCAACAGCTCTTGTAAACAAACACATCAAGAGAGCAGAGAAGAACAAGGGAATTAAACTCAATTTATTCCTTTAAATAAACCCACATTTAAAGTATTTATTTTTATATCTGCATGTGTTAGTAACACAAAAAATTAAATGTGTTACATAAAAAACTTTATCTTAATATGATGTAGGATATATGGGTTTGAGAAACAGATCTGTATACCTTTAAACTAACCCTTGGTCTTATACTACCTTCCAGCAAGCAATAATTTCACCCAGACCCCACCACAGTGCTGCTAGTTACCCCCCTCAAAAACAGATCCCAAGGAAGAAAAGTCCACAGCTTACAACTGAAGTGTGACGTGGGTCTGGCCCCTCCTCTGCCTCACCTTCAGAAGCATAGGACCTCCTCTCCTCCGGGTCCTCTGTGATGTCACACATGTCCCCCCGGGCCCGGGCCAGGCGCCACAGGAACTGCTCCTGCTCTGCATACTGCAGGGAGACACAGCACAGATCCAGACCCACCCTGCCACTGCCAACGAGCATCAGAAAGAAAACCAAATGGGGGCACGTACTAGAAGGAGCACAGACGTGTTCTGAAACCTTGACAGGTCCCAGCTCTACAAGGGCTGCAGCAGAAGCACACAGGAGCAAACTGGATGGGCAGGTTAACCACTGGGCTCACTACGCTGCTACGGTCTAATTGCTGCTGCCTCCTAATGAGGAACCCACCTTCAGAGGCCAGCCTGTGGCCAGCTCTTCAGCAGCCTCTGCCAGCCTCAAAACACTGGGGGAGGAAAACAAAAAGCACCTAGCACCACACACCTAAACCTCCCCACTTCATTAACATTCACAAGCTGAATTCCACTTTTCTCCCGTTTTCATCCGCATCCAGACAGCTCCACAGCCTGCCTTGTTTGTAACCCCAGGACAGCTCTGTAGATGTACTGCTAAACTTGAAGTGGAATGTTCTGACAAACTCAAACTTAGTTAAAAAACTAAAAAAAAAGTAAAAAATGGAAAACACAACCACCAACAGCCTGGTTTCTATTACAATAGAACTAAATAGTAACTAAAACAAGGTTGAAGAATCCCCAGAAGGAAGTGTGCAAGAATTTCAGAAGCCAACAGGCCTCTCATTTCTTTCTGGTGGGAAGGGGAAACCAAATCTACTTGAAATTACAACCAATCACATTATTCGTTATTTCTCTCCTTCTATTCCTCCTGGAAATTCAGAAGTCAAACAGGTTTTGCTCTGGAGGAGGCTGGTGACCCAGAGTGTTTTCTGGGCTGGCTGTGCCGTACTTGGATGCACACAAGCAGAGCTGAGGGTGCCACTGCAGCAGGAACAGGCACAGCCTCACCTCACCAGCTGCCACGGTCACCAAGCCACAGCAGGACATGTGTCAGGGCTGGTGGATCTGCTGCCAGAGCCTGAGGCACCTGCAAGGGCTGGGGCAGCAGCACCACTGCCCCTCGCCACGCTCCCGCACCCCTGCGCCAGGGACCAGCTCCCACTGTCCCAGTGACAGTCACACTCTCCAAGGAGGTGACACACCTGCAGCACACAGGTTCTTCACCTCATTCACCAGGATACCCAGGAGCCTTGCCTAACCCTTCTGCCTGAACGTGCACCTTGTTATCCCCTGAACCACCACACGCGCTGGGCAGCCCTGGGACAGACCAAGTGTCCCGAAGCTGCCTGAGCCCGCACGTGGGCCACGAGGCCAATGCCCTCCAGAAGTTTGCTGGGTTTCCTGTACACACAGAGACTGTTACTTTGCACGTGTGCAGTGTGCTCACTCGGGGAAAGCGATGACATGACGAGACACAGAGTTCCAAGACGCTGCTGCCGTAGCCTGAACAACTCTGGCCTCCAGCCCGCTCCCAGGCTGCTCCTGAGGAAGGGGCCACTGGCAGCAGGCCCAGTTGCTGTGTAGAGCCTGGACCCCACTAAGATGTGCCATTTCCTCTTTCCTAGCTATTTAGCTGAAAGCACAAATCACTGCTGGGAAACAGAAGAAGGCAGCAGCCGTTACCGCCAGCTTGTTGTTCAGCAGCAGCTGGAATCCTTCCCTCCTCTGCTGCTCGTCGCCGCGGTGCAGGCGGTCAGCCTGCTGCAGGAGCTGACCCAGCCCCTCTGCCAGCGAGGGCTCTGACAGGAGATGTGTTTCCTCCTCGCTGAGGAGGTCCAGGGAGTCCCTCCTCACAGTCCTCACTGTCTCACAGCTCACTTCATCCTCCCCCTCCACGCTCTCCCGCTCGGACTCCCGGTCGTAATCGGACTCGGCGTTGGCCGTGCTGTACCTTTGAGGGAACAAAAACACCAAAACACAATGAAAAACTGGTTTTGAGGAGATGCTGTGCAGCCTCTGGCAGTTTTATAGATATGGTACAGAAAAATCCAGCTCCTGCTAACAGAAGAAGAGGTGTATCCTAATTTATCCTGTAGGATGCTGTACAACCCAAGCATCTCTAATAACACACCAATCACCATTCCTCATGCAATAGACACCAGCTCAAAAAGCTGAAGGACTAAGGGCCCCCAAAGTGAAGCAGAACTCAGTCACAAGTGTCCACATCTCACTTGCATTAACAGCTTCCCTTAGGCCTTCTGACTTCAACAGAAGAGAAACAAACAACTAAGAACAGAGCCAGGACAGTTCAGTTCAATGTATGCATTATAAAAGAGCATTTCAACCAAAAATCCAACATGCTCATCCATGTGGAAAATATAACCTGAGGTTTTCAACCCGTGCCAGGAAATGTCAGACACAATAGCTGTTTTGGCAGCATCTAGTGCTGCCATCATCTTGTCTGAGCACTAAATGTGAAGCAGCTTGTTCACACTGACATGCAAAAAGGTGCAAAACAGTAGGAGAGCCATCAAAGCTGCTTCACATGAGCAAGGAGGCAGCAGGTGAGCCACAAAAAGACACCACATCTACAAAAACACAGGCAATGATTAGCTGCTAAATTAGTTAAATGACACAGGATAAAGCTCAGATCAAAGTTAATGAAATTGGTGGAAATTAAGCTCCCTCAAAACCTACACAGGCAGCTAGGCTGGAAATTTAGAACAGCATTATAAATTGGCTGTTACCCCACAGTGGGGAGTCTACTTCAGAGCTAATTTGTTTTTAAACAAGACTCTATTTGTCCCCTTCACATTCACCTGCAAGCTCTCAGCTGAAGAGCAGGCACAAGCCAGCCAGTGCTTCAGTTTAAGAACATGCACTTTTCCAGTGGGGGTTTGCTGGTTTACCTGAAGCTCTCTCCCTCAAGCACACTACTTCAAACCCCACAAACACCTAATTGTAGGGACGTTTGTAATTGTTGCCCAATGAAACTCTGCCCAAACCAGCTTCACTTATTCTGTAGAATTCAGAGCTGCTGAGTCTGGGGGCACTGGGTATCCAGAGCTGCAGTTCCCTTCCTCCTGGCTGAGGTTCTGCCCCAGGGCAGAGCTGAGCACTGCCTGTGTGAGACAAAGATAGGGACCAAAGTCTGTATCTGAGGAAAGCAGTTACAATAATGTGCCCACACCTAGATAACCAGACACAGCTGGCTATCCAGGCTTCAGTTTTCTGAGAAACATCAATAACACTCAGGCATTTCCCTCTCTGCTAGCAGGCAGGCAAACACCCTCACTCACCACAGCCTCCTGCCCTCACCCTACATTTCAAACTGCACCACTTTGTACTGAAGCGTTTGAAGGCAAGAAATAAACAAGAATGAGCCTTATCCCACAAAGCCAAGTAGGCAGCACTGCAGGAACACAGGCTGGAGATCACACAGGCAGTGACAAATGAATGGATAATGCAGCAGCACATGGTAGGTGACACTAGCCTGGCTCTGTTTCAGATTCAAAGCTTCATTTCCTGCTATTTTCTGAAGATTAGCTCTATTTTCACCTCTCTAAACTACCTCATTTCCAATATTTCAGCACAAACCCCTCAAATTCCCTTACTCCCCCTCCTAACCTACTGCACAGCACAGCTGTGGGCCCCAGAGCTGTGATGCCATCTCCCTCCCATGACAGTGCTGCCAGCTGCAAAGACTTCAGTCCTTCAGCTGAAAGCCTCTCTGTGTGGAAGGCTCCTGAACCACAACGTGGTTGTTAGGAACAGGCAGCAATGGATGGCTCCTGCTCACATTTTTTCTCCCCCACAAAAATGTGTTTTCTCCAAGATGGCTCATACAAGATGCTTCCAGTTTAAAGAGACAAGTAATACTGTATATAACTTCATAAATTCAAGAGTTTTCAGAAAGATTAATGGATTTAGATGTTATCAGCCTGTTTTGTTTTCTTGAGTTCAAGATGATGGAAAGTTCTTAAATGCTTTAGTATGTTGAGGCCTCTGGCAAGCACACATCCTGGATGAAAATGAAAACATACTATCTGGAATGAAAAACTGGATGGAGAGAGGAGCCAGAGGAGCCCAAAAGCCCAACACAGAGCCAAAGCAATAGAGAGAAACTGAGCTGCCCAGGAGCTCCGGGCTCCTGAAAGCTTGTGATGGTTTTTGCCAGTTTATATGAAATCAGAGAAGATGCTGATGCCCATGTGGTTGACAAAATAGAGCTGAAATGTGAGCTCTTCTTTCTGAACTTCATTAAAGGAACACAGCTGCCAGGAAGGAACACACAGCTGACATCTCTCTGTTGAGAACAGTCTCGCTCTTCCTCCCAGTGGCTGCTCAAAAGCTAAAATAATCTTTTCCAAATTTACATTTCCCACCCTCGTTTTCTACTAGAAAATGTTGGTATTTACATCTCTCAAAGACAACAGTACATACCAAAGGCAGCTGGTCCTGAACAGAATAATATTACCCCCACATGTATTGGGCAAATGCCAAAGTTAGAAATCACACATTATTAGATTTTTAAATCAGACGAGAGCTGCTTCTCCACCAATACTCCACACCAGTCATTAAACTTAAATACAGATTTTAAATACAATGTAAGAACTCCTCCAATCATGACAAGGTTCCCAATGAAATAAGGAGGTTTTGCAGGAAAACATATCCCTGCTCCACAGCTGAGGTCAGGTCCCCTCAGGGGGTGCCCTCTCTGAACCTCAGAGCTGTTCTTGGCTTCTGACAGGAGGTGCAGTTTTCCCATGAGCAGAGGACACCTGGGGCTGGTACCTGTGGGCAGCAGCTGTCCTTTTGCACGGGCTTCACTGCACGTGTTGCACCCTGCTGCCTCAGTGCACCCCTTGTGCCCAGAGAGCAAGGGCCTGCCTGCAGAACCACAGACGTGCTTCTCCAGGCCCTGCTGCTGTGACTGCACCATGAGTCACTCACTCAGCTCTGCTGTCCTACAAACACCCACGCCAGGTGAACGAGGCAGTTCTGCAGCCTGAAGGAGAGCAGAGCAGCTCTGCCTGCTTCACCAGTCCCAGCTCCTGCAGAGGATCCACTGACAGGACTCAGCTCCACAGCAGCCACGGGGCTGCTCCCAGCAGAACCTGCCCTAGGAGGCTGCTGCAGCAGCAGCTGCTCTGTCCCTGCACCAGCCACCCACCACAGCCCAGCTCTGCCTGCCTGGCTCTCAGGGGTACAATCAACCCCCCTCTTTAAGTGATGGTTCATTTCAGCTTCCCTGGGAAGATGTACACAGCCAGCACTGCCTGTTTCAGAACCCCTGCACACCTCAACGGCCAGAGAGCCCATCACATGGAGGAGAAGCCTTTCAGCAGCAGGGCAGCAGTCTCAGACACACACTGCAGACCTCCTGTTATCCAGTACAACAATACTTGCACCTAGATTGTAACTGTTACTGATGTTCTTAAGCTACACAGTCCTTTCCACCTGTTTTTAAACTGTAAGGAGTTAAGCAACACAACTGATCAGCAGGGGACACTGAGAAAAATCTGTAAGAAATACCCTAGTGAAGGGTGTTTCTGAAGACAGGAAAATACTGAAGATATTTTAGTCAGTTGGAATATATTTTTCACTTTGCAAAGTTTTCCAGACTGTTGTACAGAAATTTTATTTATAAACTCTCTCACTCAAGTCCTAAGCTGGGCTTCCACTTCCTTTCTTCCTGCAAGGTAGAATGCAAGTGCTTTCTTTTCAAGGTAGAAAGGTTCCCTAATCAAATTACTGCTTAAAAAAAAACCTCAAAAACATTTTTTTTTTGTTTCCCCCCTTTCTCCACAAGTCAGAATCGTTGCACTTCTCTCAATCTGGCCCTAGCAGTAGTGAACTCACTGTCATCAAAACAAATAAAACCAGGCTGACAAACACCTAACGGTGAAGAGGATCCCACCCTTCCTGTGAGGAACTGCTCGGACAGGAGTCACAGGGCACCAAAGCCTGCAGAGGCTGCTCTGAGCCTGCTGCTCTGCTCACCCTCCTTCGCTTTCCCCATCGTCCGTGTTGGCTGCTCCTGAGCTGGCAGTGAAGTAGATGGAGCTGGAGCCTGTGGAATCCCTTCTGTCCCTCGAGAACGGGAACCGCCTCCGGCGAGCTGCCTTCTGGCTTTCCTCCAGGTGGCACCTTTGAGGAAGGCAAAAAGAGAAACAAATAAACTTTGGATAGTGAAACGCCCTTCTCCTCTCCAGCAGATCCTACCCAATTTAATTTATATCCAAAGAGTTCCCAAGGTGACTTACTCCTGTGTACACAAGCACCCCACTGCAATGCACCAAGCGTTGTATTCAGCAAGTAAAATGAGTGTGGCCCAAGGCTTGGTCCACACACAACCCACAGAGCCACGGGGGCAATCCTAGCACAGGCATCCCCTGATTTCCTCACTGAACAAAGAGAGGAATCCTGAAAGGCCTTTAATTCTCTATCTGGCAGCGATCAGAGTGGGAACAGCAGCAGCAAGAGACAAACACTCACAGAACAAACCAACCTCCCAGGCTGGAGCCCAGCGCCAGGGTCACGACTCAATACCCTCTAAGGAGAAGTTAACTCTGGCTAAACAGACTTCTTTTGCATTAATCTCACTGGAGGTCAAGACATGATGCCCATGGAAACAAGAGACACCTTTTCCACTTCTGGATTTTAAATTTAATGCCCTCAGTCCTGGCTGTTCCATCGAGCTACAGAGCAAACCTGTGCCACGGGAGAAGAGGACAGAGGGGGCAGGGTGGATACCTGACTTCCCCAACGATTTCTGCAGCCAAGTGCTGCAAGCTGCTCCGCAGCTCCTCCACTTCTCTTCTCAGCTCTGAGATGTTCCTCAGCACGAAGTCGAGGCGCTCGAGCACATCCAGCTGCTCGTCCTGCTCCAGCAGAGGTGTGTGCTCAGCACCACCCCCCGCCTCGGCCGCAGCCAGAGCTCTGGGCACCTCTGCAAGAGAACAGAGTTTCAGCAGATGCAAAGGGGGGAGGATTTCACAGGGGAAACCTCAGTACAGATCTTGTTTGCAGAAGATGAAGGAACGTGAGGCTGGGTTTCAGGTCTTGTTGCCTGACTTGGCCTGAGGTTTTGGGCTCTCCAGCTGGTTCACTGCTCCCTGCTCCACCAGCAGCACCAACCACACCAAACAGACCTGCAACAGCCACCGGGGCAAACAGAGCTCGCTGGGTTGGGTTTTTTTAAGTCCTCACTGCAAATTAATTTCATTCCTATTCCCCACACTTCTGTACTAACATCACACTGAAAAGCCATGCTCTGCTCTTCTCCTGAACTGCTATCAAGCCAGGAGGCCACCAGCCAGGAAGGCAACCAGTGATAATGAACAAGGGCAACAGAAGCTGATTTTGGCCATAAAAGACTCATTCTTCCAAAACAAACAAGCCAACCCCACTATTCTTATTCAAGGTGAAAAGAACCCTGACAGAAACCCAAGGAGGTCTCGTTTAAAACCCGGGCAGTTGCAGAATCAAAGAACCACAGCCTGGTTTGGGCTGGGAGGGACACTAGAGATCCTCTGGCCACAGCAAAGGCTGTGAACAAACAGTTTCGCTTCCAGTTCTCGCCAGACTTGGGTGAATAAAAGACCGGGATAAATATGAAGCACGCTCGGGTTCCCAAATCAGCTTTTTGGGAAGTTCAGCGCTTCAGCCCTGCCCCAGTTCAGCGCTGAGCGGGTGAAGTGAAAGCTCTAAAAGGGCTTGTGAAGAGACGGGCGAGGGCAAGAGCAGGACGGGACGGGCGCCAGGAGAACTGCAGATCTGAAAAGAAGGGGGGACAGGGGGAGGAATGAGGGGAAAGGGGGAGGAATGAGGGGACAGGGGGAGGA